TATCATCTATCTATCTATCTATCTATCTATCTATCTATCTATCTATCTATCTATCTATCTATCTATCTATCTATCCTATCGGGTTAGGGTTATATATATATAGCCACTCAGAAAATATCCAAATGTAGTATATATACTACAATTAGATATTTTCCAAGTGGCTCTTTTAATTTGATCCAAGTATGCCAATTGCTTACATAATGTCAAATGTCTCACTCTTTATATTATGACATTGAATAAGGCTATTTAGTATTTTTGGGTTCTATTTCAGAAAGATGTGTATAGAGATTCTCAGTCAGAATAACAGAATAACAGAGTTGGAAGGGACCTTAGAGGTCTTCTAGTCCAACCTTCTGCTCAGGCAGGAAACCCACTTCAGACAAATGGTTGTCCAATCTCTTCTTAAAAACTTCCAGTGTTGGAGAATTCTTGGAGCCCGCATCAATGCAAATATTATTTGGTACTTGTCTTCAGCTTTTTAAAGCAGCTGCATCTTTCTTGAGGTTGCAAACGGTTCTGCAACTAACGTGTGGTCCTAGGAAAAGATACAGCTTCTTGAAAGAATTTCAGATGAATAAACTCTGCATGCTCCAAAACACTGTTCTGGTACTGAATGCACAGACCTGTGATTTCATGCTAATACGTTTAAATATTAATATACTATTTCCCTATTTCCTTTTTCAACGCTTTAGTGTCACAAGTTTGTTTAAAAAAAAAAACCTAGCACGTCAGAGTTACATCCTGTTATTCTTACAATCTCCAGCCTGAGGTGGATGTGTTGTACTAAGCAACTTCTTATTGTTGGATGAAAAATGTCTGTAAATAATCCATTGTGCAAATATATAGCATTAGTTTTTCAATAAATAAGATGTGTTTCCTCAGAATCTAGGATGTTTTCTTTCCTTTTTTTAGTGGAAACAACTAAAGCTTTACTCTCTGCTTCTCTGATCTCTCACTCTCTGCCTCTGTCTGCGTGTCTGTCTGTCTGTCTCTGATCTCTCCCTCCCTCCCCCTTCTCTCTCACTCTCACTCTACGTCTCTCTCTCTCTCTCTTCCCCCCCTCCCTTCCAGCTCTATTCTATCTTATCTATTCTATTTCTATTCTAAAGATCAGCTTTTGGTCCTTAGACATTCTAAAAAACATACTAGACGAGAATTTGTTTGTGCTGTTGAGTCCATGTGTCTGTCCTTCATATGGGTTGAACTACCAAATTCCCTTCATTTATCCCCATCTGCCCTCTCAAGTGGTTTTGAACCTGTAAATCCAGGCCTACTGACTAATAATAGGGACTTGAAATCCCACAAATTTGGAGAACATTTGGGGAAAGGCCAATCGGGTCCCATTGTTGACCCAATAATCCCCTTCTACCAATAATCCCCTTCTACTTTCTCCATTCACCTTCATAAGATTACTCTTTCTCATGGAGTTGGCTTACCACCCACCTAAGCCTGATTATACTTTGTCTTTACTCTTTCATTTCACAGAGCCATTTCTAGATCCTTGACACTTTCCATCTTTTTATGCAGCCTGGATCTCTCCTTGATATGTATTCATTATACTAAACTGTCACATTTAGAATAGAATAGAATAGAATAGAATAGAATAGAATAGAATAGAATAGAACTTATAGCATTTCATATAAATGGTTATCCAATCTCCTCTTAAAAGCCTCCAGTGATGAAGCATCCACAACTTCTGGAGAAAAATTGTTCCACTGGTTAATTGTTCCGTCAGGAAATTTCTCCTTAGTTCTAGGTTTTTTTACTTGTGTCTGGTCCCAAAAGGAAATAATGCATGTACATTATTTGGACAATAGAGTCCTTGGTGCTCTCTGAGCTTGGTTCTTTGCTTGCAGACATTTCATTTTTTCTGGAGTTGCACCTATCTTACCAAGCTGAAAGACTCAGGCCAACTGAAAAAAACCTACCATTGTTTTAAATGGGAAAATATTCAATATTGGCTTTCATTTGTTTGGCCTCAAGTCACTAGTGCTGCCATAAGCTACTAGTGAATCCCTGGCTATGTAAATCTCTGGCTTATACCAGAATAGTGAAGAACTTTCTTAAAAAATACATTTTTAATATAATAATTCCATCTTCAATGGAACAGTGTGTTGTCTGAGTACCAATATCTTTATTGAACAATGATCAAAATTGGCTACATCATTCATTACATTGATATTAATTCAGCAATATTAAAATAGTAATATTCCACGTATTAATTCTACAACATTCAAATAGTAATATTCAATGTACTAGTTGTAATATTTACTTATCTCTTTTAACGTATCTTCTTTATTTTGTTTCCCTGTTTCTAACTTCCACTGTTGTTATTTATCTATTGATAAAATAGATCCCATATCGTATAATAATCAGTTTGCTCTTTCTCCTTAATTGCCAACATTAATTTCTTCATTTCTGCACATTCTAATATTTTCCTAATCACATTCTGATCTGTAGATATCTCCAGGGGTGGGGTTTCAAAAATTTTAACAATGGGTTTTCTGCCCGGTTGCTGGGTGAACGTGGCCTAGTCGGCCTCCTGCACCACAAGGGAGAGGGGGACGTTTTCACCCTCCCAGGGCTCCGGAGGCTCTCTGGAAGCTGGAAACAGGCCCGTTTCTGGCCTTTCTGAACTTCCAGGAGGGCCATTTTTCACCCTCCCTGAGCCTCTGCGCACACCCTGCACTTACCTGTATTCAAAACGGGTTACATCAGGACTCCTGGGAGGGGCGAGGTGGGGTGCGGGGCCAGGCAGGAGTGGGAATTGAGGGTTCTCTGAACTGGACAGAATCTTAGCTAGGGGCTCTCCTGAACCCCTGCGAACCCCCAACAGCCCAGCCCTGGGTATCTCTGAGTAGTGAAGAAGAACTTGATTATATGTTTACCGGGACAGTATCGTAATCAATGTTTGTGCTCAGTATTTGTGTGGTACAGGAAGCAAGGATGGTGTTGCGATGGTTGTATTTTGTTCTGATGAAAAAATATGGTGTTTTCTTGACAGGGTTGTTTGGGTATTGTTTTGTTTTGTTGTTTTGCCTTAGACTTGTTAGGTATTGGGCATCTAACATTTTTTTCTTTCTTGGACAAGAGCGCCCTTTTGAGTATTTCAGCTGATGACCCCATCCCAAAAGGCTTTGGAGCCTATCAATGAATTATGTCATTGTTTCTTCCCAGGGACCGAGGAGAAAACAAACCTTGAGCTCATTATTCTTGTTGGAACAGCAGTCATTGCCATGTTCTTCTGGCTGCTCCTCATAATCATTCTCCGGACTGTTAAACGGGTAATGAAATCAACTCTCCGCCCCCACTGTTCTGTTGGCATTAGTCTTGCATAACAAATGAAATCTGATGGGTTTTCTTTTGTCTGCTTCTCGGCATTGTCTTGAAATCAACAGAGGCTCCCTTCCCTGCCTTCTTGAGGCATTACATTCCTGCTACTCTGCAGGAATGAAAGCATGCAAATATTTTTGCTTTTAATTGGGGGAGAGAGAGACAGAGAGAAATGGGGGGGGGGAGAGAAAGAGAGAGAGAGAGAAAGAGAGAAGGAGAAAGAGAGAGAGTCAGTCTATGGCCCCCAACAATCTGGGGAGAAAGAGAGAGAGACATACAGACACACACAGAGAGAGGGAGAGACAGAGAGAGAGGGAGAAAGAGAGAGAGGGGGAGGGAAAAAGAGAGAGAGAGAAAGAGAGAGAGATGAAGAAAGAGAGAGAGAAAGAAAGAGAGTCCTTTTCAAATATTAATAGAGCAAGTTTCTAATGATGGTTGATGGGTACGTGCCTCATAGAGTTCTTGTGGGAAACAACGTTTTTGCATTTCTGGAAGAAGAAGAAGAAGTAGAAGAAAAAAGGAAATGTCAAATTTTAACTCATGCTAGTAAACGTGAGAGAGAGCAGGTGACTCAATACAGGTAGTCCTCGACTTACAACAGTTCACCTAGCGACTCGTTCAAAAATTACAGTGGCACTGGAAAAAGGGACTTGTCACCATTTTTCCATACTGACCATTGCAGCATCCCCATGGGCATGTGATTTCCATTTGGAAGCTTGACAACTGACTCACATCTATAGCAAGAAGCACTTATATACCACTTCACAGTGCTTTTACAGCCCTCTCTAAGCAGTTTATAGAGTCCGCCTCTTGCCCGCAACAATCTGGCTCCTCTTTTGACCCACCTCGGAAGGATGGAAGGCTGAGTCAACCTTGAGCCTGGTGAGATTTGAACTTGCCAAATTGCAGTCAGCCGGCAGTCAGCAGAAGTAGCCTGCACTACTGCACTCTAACCACTTGCGCCACCGCTGCTCTGTGGCAGCTATAATGGTTGCAGAGGCCCGGGGGCCATGTGATCGCCTTTTGCGACCTTCTGACAAGTCAAAGGGGGGAACCAGATTAACAACGGCGTTACTCATTTAACAATCCCTGTAGCAGTGATTCATTTAAATGAATGTGCAGAGTAAAATGGGGCGAAAGCTCACTTAGCAACCTAAGTTCTGGGCTCCATTGTGGCTGTAAGTTGAGGACTTACCTGTCATAAGTGTAAGCTGCTATTGTTGGTATTGTGTTTTTTTCAGGCCAATGGAGGAGAACTAAAAACTGGCTACCTGTCTATCATCATGGATCCTGATGAAGTCCCTATGGATGAGCAGTGTGAACGTCTCCCTTACGATGCCAACAAATGGGAATTCCCTCGGGATAGGCTGAAGCTAGGTTTGTTCTCTTCCTTGGGACCAATACTCCTGATAACCATTAAACTAGAATTTTGGGGGGGGCGGATATAGGCAGTGGTGGGATTCAATTTTTTTTCCACTACCGGTTCTGTGGGCATGGCTTGGCTTGGTGAGTGTGGCTTGGTGGGCGTGGCAGTGGAAGGACACTGTAAAATCTCCATTCCCTCCCCACCCCACTAACCTGCTTTCCAGCTCCATTCTCCTGTGCAGGGCAACGAAAGAAGACCCAGCCGATCAGCTGGGACTTGGGAGGCAGAGAATAGATGGGGGTGGGGCCAGTCAGAGGTGTTTCTCCAAACTACTCAAAATGTCCGCTACCAGTTCTCCAGAACTAGTCAGAACCGGCTGAATATGCTTCAAAATGTGCGGAACTAAAGTGGAGACCCCAGGAGAGAAAATTTTCAAACACATCAAGGAAGATTGATATGTTTAATGGGGAATGAAATGTTGGCTGAATGTTGGTCAAAGCAATATACCTAAACATGTTGAGACACTTCAATCAAACCATCATGGCCACCATTCCGACTTCAACTCCCAGAATTCCTGAGCTAACATGACTGGAAGAGGAATTCTGGGAGCTGAAGTCTACAAGTCTTAAAGCTGTCAAGTTTGAAGACCCCTGGGTTAGTCCATACCTGCAACAGTGGTGGGATTCAAATTTTTTTACTACTGGTTCTGTGGGCATGGCTTGGCTTGGTGGGTGTGGCTTGGTGGGCGTGGCAGTGGAAGGACACTGTAAAATCTTCATTCCCTCCCCTTCCACTAACCTGCTTTCCAGCTCCGTTCTCCTGTGCAGGGCAACGAAAGAAGACCCAGCCAATCAGCTGGGGCTCTGGAGGCGGAGAATAGATGGGGCGGGGCCAGTCAGAGGTGGTATTTGCCCAGTTCTCTGAACTACTAAAAATTTCCGCTACCTGTTCTCCAGAACTGATCAGAACCAGCTGAATACCCACCTTTGGATATAGGGATATAAGGGGAAAATTACAGGACACTTAGAAAGTTATCCTATTTGTGCTTGGCACCTCCACTGGGAAAATTCTTACGTGCAAAGAACACGTGGGCGTTCCTAAGGCCACAGAGTAAATTTGTAGACGTTGTGGGTTGTTGACAGGGCTGTGCTTCACCATATTCATTGTCAGCCGGTTAGTGTTTGAGTTTCCCAGGAGGGTTCATGGGTTTTAATTAGCACTGGAAGCCAGCCAGGTCCCAACTTTTAGTTGAGGGAAGGAGGGAGGCCATCAGACAGTCAAAGAGGCGTGTGGCGGAATATAGAAAAAGACAGGGCACTATATCGCCCATAATTTCCACCATTTCTGAGTAGTGAAGTCACTGGTAGAAGATGTATAGCAGTGAAATCTCAGCTAGGTCACACCCCAAGGAATAGGCCAAAGCTTGTGGCTGTTCCAATCCATATCTTAATGGTGTCATTAGCCATTTAAAAAAAAATACTATTTTAACCAGAAAAGAAACTCTCACGATCACCAGAATACGTGGTCTTGGTCACCGAGTGGCCCAAATTCCCCCCTGTCAGATTTATGTAGTTGGCAGCCAGGACTTTGTCATCAGAGGAGAACAGGGCTTCCTGGCACCTGTCCTTTCTTAAAAGTGACATTAGGTGGAGAGCTCTGGACCATCAGGTTTCTGATTTTGAACCATTGGGGCTGAACAAGGCTGTATCGTCGACATTGTTGCTTCCTCAGAAGAATGGCTTTGTCTAGGACTTCCCCCGCCCCTCCCCCGAAAGGCAAGTGGACTCTTTTTTCTTTTTCCTTGAGGAAGAAGAAGACTGAACCAGCCACCACTGATGAAGCTTCTTGGATAAGAAGCAAAATTTTCTTTCTTTCTTTCTTTCTTTCTTTCTTTCTTTCTTTCTTTCTTTCTTTCTTTCTTTCTTTCTTTCTTTCTTTCTTTCTTTCTTTCTTTCCCCCTCCTCCTCCTTCTTCTTCTGTCATCATCTCCTTCTCTTTCTCCTCTTCCTCTTCTCCTTCTCTCTTCTTTCTCCTCTTCCTCATCTTTCTACTTTCTCCTCTTCCTCTTCTTTCTTCTTTCTCCTCCTCCTCCTCCTCCTCCTCCTCCTCCTCCTCCTCCTCCTCCTCTTTTTCCTCCTCTTCCTCTTCTTCTCTCTTCTTTCTTCTTTCCTCCTCCTCCTCCTCCTTCTGTCATCATCTCCTCTTTCTCCTCTTCCTCTTCTCCTTCTCTCTTCTTTCTTCTCTCTCCTCTTCCTCTTCTTTCTACTTTCTCCTCTTCCTCTTCTTTCTTCTTTCTCCTCCTCCTCCTCTTCTTTCTTCATTCTCCACCTCCTCTTCTTCTTTTTCCTCCTCTTCCTCTTTTCTTCTCTTCTTTCTTCTTTCCTCCTCCTCCTCCTTCTGTCATCTCCTCCTCTTTCTCCTCTTCCTCTTCTCCTTCTCTCTTCTTTCTTCTTTCTCCTCTTCCTCTTTATTCTTTCTCCTCTTCCTCTTCTTTCTACTTTCTCCTCTTCCTCTTCTTTCTTCTTTCTCCTCCTCCTTCTCCTCTTCCTCTTCTTCTTTTTCCTCCTCTTCCTCCTCCTCAAGAAAACATAGTTGCCATTTGAAAAAGAGCATCTTTGAGGCAACTATGGCCTGGATGACTGAGAATCTCCATAGACTAGGCTAAGAGAATTGATCAGAATATTTGTAGCTCCCATTTTGCTCCACCTACAAACTCACTTGGTGGTCAAGCAACCCCAGTGTCAGTCCCCTGGTGCCTATAGTACTGTTGGCTGACCTCTTAGGAATGTTTGAATCAAAGTCACGTGAAATATTAATACTGCTTTATAAATCTTCAGTAAGGCCACACCTGGAATACTGCATCCAGATACGATTACCACATTACAAAAAAGACATTGAAAAAATGGGGTGGGGGAGTGCAGAGAAGAGCAACTAAGATGATTAAAGGTCTGGAGACTAAGACATACAAAGAATTTGGGTATGGCCAATGTAGAGAAAAGAAGGACCAGGGGGAACCAGTATTTGAAGGGCTGCCACAAAGAAGAGGGGGTCAACTTATTTTCCAAAGCACCGGAAGGCAAGGCAAGAAACAATGGATGGAAACTAATCAAGGAGAGAAACAATTTGTAATTAAGGACAAACTTACTAACAGTAGGAACCACAGGGGGTTGGATTAGAAGACCAAGGTTCTTTCCAGCTCTATTCTGATTGATTGATTGTAGCTAAATAATAGCAATCTAGTTAAGGCAAAGCATTGAGCCTTTATTCTTGCCTGACTGGGTCTCCTGCATTGAACTGCCTTCCCTAGACCAGTAGACCATATAAAATAATGTCATACGTTCAAAACTAATACAACCTTATATTTGGTTTGATGACAACATTTCCACAGCCAGCATCAAAACATATTTGTGAGGATCACCAACTAGGATAGCATTCTATTCTATGTTATATTATATGTTCTATATAAGGAGCCTCTGTGGCACAGCGGTTAGAGCGCAGTACTGCAAGCCACTTCTGCAGCCAATTTGGCAGTTCAAATCCCACCAGGCTCAAGGTTGACTCAGCCTTCCATCTTTCCGAGGTGGGTAAAATGAGGACCCAAAATGTTGGGGGCAATATGCTGACTCTCTAAACTGCTTAGAGAGGGCTGTAAAACCCTATAAAGCGGCATATAAGTCTTATTGCTATTGCTATTAGATTTTTTCCTTCTTCCACATTTTTTTTAATGGAATGGGTAAATTTCTTTCCTGCCATTTAAGGATACATATCCCTCTTTTCTTTTTTTTCTGTTTATCCAGGAAAACCACTTGGGAGAGGAGCATTTGGTCAAGTGATCGAAGCTGATGCATTTGGGATTGACAAGGCAACTACTTGTAGCACTGTAGCTGTCAAAATGCTTAAAGGTAAGAATCAAGAATCTACACACACCTAGCAAGGAAGCGATGATAAGCAAACTTACAATTATAACTCTTGGACAAGGAGAATTGTTCTACTGTATTTAGTTGTTTTTAGGGATAAAAGATGTTTTTCTGCTTTATTCTTTGGTTCAGACCATTGTCTTTATTTACCAAAAGACAGATAATATGTCCATTAATAGTATTAATGTATTAGCAGATGCATTTCTGCATTTCCTATCTACTCTGAGTAAACATTAGCTGTTGCTGGACAGTGTTTTACACAATACAAACCTCTTAATATTAGCAAGCATGTATCATCTAAATGGAAAGAATAGAGTCATTATTATACCCATGTATGTAGCATGGGTACATGTGTGTTATGTGTGTGTTTGGGTAACTATACACTTTCTCTTGAAAGCAGGTAACAGAATGTCATTTTTTAATGTGGGCTAGTGTGCTTTCAATAAAAAAAATGACAATAAAAAGTTACCTTATCTAAATTTTCTGACCAATGGACAAATTGCAGGACTGAAGAATTGGTCATCTTAGATTGCCCTCATATTCCTTACACGTGGCATTTGTATATGTAAATTCTGCAGGGCTCTTATACATTAACTAATGCCTAGTTCCTATGCACATTATACACCAGAGGTCTTCAAACTTGGCAACTTTAAGATTTGTGGACTTCAACTCCCAGAATTCTCCAGCCAGTATAGCTGGCTGGAGAATTCTGGGAATTGAAGTCCACAAGTCTTAAAGTTGCCAAGTTTAGAGACCTTTGTTATACACATTCTCTATAAGGTTTCTAATAATAATAAATCTCTATTAAGTTTGTTTACAAATCTTGATAAAATACTATTTTGATCTTTATTGTGATTTGCCTTAAAAAAAAACACCCTCTCATAATTTAGACTTGTCTACAGTAGAAAGAAACAATCAACTGCAACATCAGAGAACAGGCATAAAATAGAAATTTTAATTGCTCCAAGGAAAGTCCAAAAGAACTCCGGGTAGAGTGACCATTCCTGTAAGTTGCTTTAGTAAATGTGACTCGAGGTTTAGAGCAAACTTTTAAGGTGCTCGTTTATCTTATGTTGCTGCAAAGAGGCTAGATAGACCTGATGGATTTTGTAATTCTTCCCCACCTTTGGAGTGGAAGTTGGCAGCTCAACTAACTGAGGCCAGTTGGATAAATTGTGATTACAATTTATGGAATTCAGTTTATTAAAAAGAGCCATAGTGGTGCAGTGGTTAGAATGCAGTACTACAGGTTAACTCACTACTCACTCCAGGAATTTGATCCTGACCGTCCCAAGGTTGACTCGGCCTTCCATCCTTCCAGGATTAGTAAAATGAGGACCCAGATTGTTGGTGGCAAATGCTGACTCTGTAAACTGCTTAGAGGGGATTGTAAAGCACTATGACATCATTTTTACCAAGTCTGCACTACTATTACTATTAATCTTCTCATCACTCCTTATCACGCATCCCCTCCCACTTGTGATTGTATGACTGTAACTTTGTCGCTTGTATCCTTACGGTTTATATTGACTGTTTCCTAGTATGATTTGATTGCTTATTGTACCCTATGACTATCATTGAATGTTGTACCTTATGATTCTTGACTCTTGACGAATGATCTTTTCTTTTATGTACACTGAGAACATTTGCACCAAGACAAATTCCTTTTGTGTCCAATCACACTTGGCCAATAGAACAATTCTAATTCTAATTCTAATAAGTCTTAAGAAATATTTCTGTTACTGCTATTATTTGTGTGCCTTTTGTTTTGTAGAGGGTGCCACACACAGTGAACATCGAGCCTTGATGTCTGAACTCAAAATTCTTATTCATATTGGCCATCATCTCAATGTAGTTAACCTACTTGGAGCTTGCACAAAACCAGGAGGTGAGTGTTGCTACTTAAGAACATCTCTGAATGGATGAATGAATGGATTGACGTGAGAACTCATCTTGTAGACCTTTCTTGGAATTTAGCAATGAAGAAAAAAAGATACAAAACTAAGCAGAGATATTTAATAGAAAACTTAATTAATCAGTGGGGCAGGTTGATGGCTGCTTAATACTCTTGACTATTGAGGCTATCTGAAGGCTTGTAAGATTCTATCTGATGGTAGTTGACTTATATTCTGTTTCAACGTTAAACATACTTTGGTCTGTTTTCACGATCTGCCCTGTTTTCTCACTGTACTTTCTTAAGGTCCACTCATGGTGATTGTGGAATATTGCAAGTTTGGAAATTTGTCTGTCTACTTAAGAAGCAAGCGAAATGATTTTGTTCCATACAAGGTGAGGCTTCGGAACCTGGAGAACCATTCAATGTATTCATAATGAGATTTGTTGAACATTGTTCAGCAAATTTGTTGAACATTGAAGCTTCTCCTCAGGTAATATTGAATTGCTAACTAAGGCATACAAAACCTTTGCTAGACCAATACTTGAATACAGCTCATCTGTCTGGAATCCACACTGTATATCGGACATTAATACAATCGAGCGAGTCCAGAAGTATTTCACGAGAAGAGTACTACTCTCCTCTGCTCGCAACAGAATACCCTATATCATCAGGGTTGAAATTTGGGCTTGGACAACCATGAACTATGCTGCCTACAGTTAGACTTAAGCGTAGTACACAAAATTATCTGCTACAATGTCCCATCAGTCAATGACTACTGCAGCTTCAACTGCAACAACGCAAGAGCACACAACAGATACAAATCTCAATGTAAACTGCTCCAAACTTGATTGCAGAAAGTACGACTTCAGCAACAGAGCGGTCAATGCCTGGAATGCACTACCTGAGTCTGTTGTTGCATCCTCTAACCCCCTACTCCTTTAACCTCAAACTAACCACTATTGACCTCACCCCATTCCTAAAAGGTCTGTAAGGGCCGTGCATAAGCACACAATCGTGCCTACTGCCCCTGTCTTATTGTCCCCATTCATTCATACCTTTTTCCTGTATTCTTACTTATGTTTATACCTATACCTAATATCTTATAACCGATTGGCAAATTAATTAAATAAATAAATTGTGTGATATAGTAGTTAAGGTATTGGAACAAGTGTAGCAGATTCAATTTCTAGTCAGCCATCAACCCCAGGCCCCCCGTGGATGATTTTGTGGCCGCTATTATCTTCCTCTACTTTTGCTAAGTCCTTTTCACACTTTGCAATGATTAACAGATGCAACAGATGTGGTGAGCAATTAGACTCCTATTCTTTTCTCAGAAGAATATAAATTTAACATTTCAACATAAAGCCATTGACTAATCAGGATACAGTTTGGGACATTTGCCAATGTTATTCCGGTACAATAGCATTTGCTTCCTTGAGGCTCTTTTTCTCATATTACACAATGGTTCCACGATGGTATTATCACAAAAAATTTAATCCATGTAAAGCTCAGACATAAATGCCTAGGACAGATTTCTGAGCGGAGCCACCCACGGGCATTTTGCTGCCTGAGGTAAAAAAAAACAAAATGGCAGCCTTCCATGTAAACAAACTATCTAATGAAGCATCTTCAGTGTTGATAGCAGAAGAATGTCATCTGGGTTTAAAACAGCTGAAGGCAACTTTGGTCAAACCAAGGGTTATACCAACAGCATTTCTGGGGCTGAACTGCTAAAAATAATGGCAGATCACATTAAAATGTGGGGTAACAATGACATTCATTAAAGGAAGGATGAAGATGACATAGATTAACAAGTGATGTGGAATCTTTGCATGTGTAAAGCAAATATGTAGCATCAGCAAAATTGGTGATATCTTTTTCGCCAAATTTTGTTGCATCTCCTGTTATATAGCTTCCATTATTTACCAGCAACTAAAAACTATGAGGTTGCATCCTCCCTTTTTCTTGCCATCACAGAAAATGATACAAATTTGATTGCCTCTTTTGTTCTTTATTTGTTTTAATTGCCACAGACCAATAACACCAGATCTGGGCGAGGACACAGTGATTTCACTGCAGACCTAAAGAAACGCTTGGACAGCATTGCAAGCAGCCAGAGCTCAACAAGCTCGGGCTTCGGCGAGGAGCGATCCCTCAGTGATGTGGAAGAAGGAGAAAGTGAGATTTGCCATAATTTTTTAAGCAAATGTTACGACCAAAGTGGAAATGAATAATAAAAAATATGAAATAAAACCCTGTACCCACCTAAATCTGTGATGGCAAACCTATGGCATGCATGCCACAGGTGGCACGCAGAGCCAGTTGTGCAAACGCGCGAGCCCCAGCCAAACTTACTTCACTGCACATGCATGTGCCTCCCAGCTGATTTTTGGCATGTTTGAGGCCTTTTTAAGGCCTCCAAGAGGCTCGATAGAAGCTCCTGCAGCCTTTGGAGGCTGAAAAACAGGCCTGTTTTGTCACTTCCAGTATTTCTAGAAATGCCAGAAGTGACAAAATAGGCCCATTTTTCAGCCTCCAAAAGCTGCAGAGGCTTCCCTCGAGCTTCTGGGAGGCTGGAAAATGCCTCAAAAGGACTGAAAATCAGTTGGGAGTTGTGCGCCTCAAAAGGACTGAAAATCAGTTGGGAGTTGTGCGCATGCACAGTGCAGGTAAGGGGGGGGGATCACGCAGGCATGCGCAGGGGGCATGGGTGGGGCACGCATTGCTTCTGGGTGCTGGTGCGCAGGTGCAAGCGCACGCACAATTTTCGGCACAGGAGCCCAAAAAGGTTAGCCACCACTGACCTAAACAATCCGAAGGAATCAAGGATTAAGTTCTATGAGAAGAAACCTTTGAATTAGCACGGTTGTTAATATTAATTGGCATTGCTTTAGCTTCACCATCCATGGTCAGATGTTCCCAGGGTATTCATTCACTGCTAATCTCTCATTCATCTATAATGAGGTTTTTCTTAAAATCCTGTTATACAGCCAATAAAAATATCTTTCAGCTAGACAAGAGTATTTCCTGTGGAAAATATTCAATTCTGTTAATTCAACTGATGAAGGATAGATACCACCCTGAGCACTTCACATAGAAAATATGTCATCATCACCATGTCTACTACAATTTTAACTATATTGCCTAGGATGTGCAGTAGCTTATGCATTGTATATAAGTTCATTTTTATTTCTTTGCAGCAACATCTGAGGAGCCTTGCAAAGCTTCTCTGAGCTTAGAGGACCTCATCTGCTACAGCTTCCAGGTGGCTCGGGGGATGGAATTCCTGGCATCCCGGAAAGTAAGGAATTTCTTGTAGGGAAATGACACTTGTGGAATGACAACATCCTTCAGGAAATAATTGTAATAAGGATGGGGCTTGGTGGAAGGAAACTGTAATGTTTGTGCCTGGAGTTCATTCAGGACTTCAGAACATTCTTGAGTTTAAGCTATTGGTCCTCCTAAGTGCTTTGGTAAAGGTATCAGCATGTGCGAATTCACCAGCAACATTGAAATATGTGTTGAAAGCTCTCTGTCCATTCCCTCTGATCAGATTGTATTATTTATTTCACGAATGTACATGAACATGTGCATAGTCTGGAGTAAACCCTACAGAGGTCAAGCCGTCAAGGGATGTAGAGTATATCTAAGGAAAACTGTTGTTAATGCATTTATTAAGATATGAGTGCCTTTAGTTGAAACAGCTGCTGGTGATGTTCCTGTGGGGAGGAAGCTAAACATTGCTCTAATGTGGGGTAATGCTTGAGAAATTAGACTATAATAGGGGACACCTAGATTTCTATTTTATTCTATTCCATTCCATTCTATTCTACTCTATGCTAATATTCTACTCTACTCTACTCTATGCTAATATTCTATTCTACTCTATGCTAATATTCTACTCTACTCTATGCTAATATTCTATTCTACTCTATGCTAATATTCTACTCTACTCTACTCTATGCTAATATTCTATTCTACTCTATGCTAATATTCTACTCTACTCTACTCTACTCTACTCTACTCTTCCTTTACAAAGCTAAACCTCAGTAGAGACAGTATGTGCAGTTGTGTTAGCTCAACCTCATGTCCATTTATTTTCAGGGGACTTTTGAAGCAGAGAGCTTTTTCTAGTGAGCTTCTCCACAGTTTGAAGTATAAAAGTCTGACTTGCTGTAGAATCTGTTGGACTTAACACATTGCTATCCACATCTGCTCTTCTGTAATTTGTAAGAGAACTTGTTTGGTGTGGAGCAGAGTATTTTTCTGTAGAGTAGGAATTATCTATGGAGGAAAACAATCAAGATGATGGCCATGATAGAACAATAGAAACCATACCTTTTTAAAAAAACAAACGCATGTCACATTTGTGATGCATGTAAAAAGGAAGTAGCTTAAAGATCGGGAGACAATCTTTTACTATTAAGTATAAGGTCATGCAATCAAGACTTGCAGAGATTATAGCTTTTAAGATAAGGTTAGCCCTATTTTCTGGAAGAATTCAGACAAGTGACTGATTGTCTATCTTGCTTCAGTGTATACACCGAGATTTGGCTGCTCGCAATATCCTTTTATCGGAGAACAATGTGGTCAAAATCTGTGATTTTGGACTGGCTCGAGATATCTACAAAGATCCAGATTATGTCAGGAAAGGAGATGTAAGTTCAGTGTCTGAAATTTTGAGGCCTTTATTTGAAATGTTAACCATGACTTCCTAAATCTCTAATCCCACTTTAACCTCACTGATTTGCAAACATGTTGCAATCAGTTTACTACAAGCTTTCAAGTTTTACTATGTTATAACTTTAACTTTTACATATATTACTACGACAATAATATTCTTGTTATCGATTGGTGGCATTTTAGATATATAATATTGTTTCTTAACTATTTAGGCTAGACTACCCCTTAAATGGATGGCCCCAGAGACCATTTTTGATCGTGTATACACAATTCAAAGTGATGTGTGGTCTTTTGGTGTGTTGCTGTGGGAAATATTTTCATTAGGTAGGTCAAATGTCTTTGCTGGCTAATTTTCAAAGTTTAACATTAAGACTACTGAAATGTAACCATGTTTGTTTATTTTTAATGCAGTATCATTGTAGAGATCTATTTCTCCACCAATGTAGAACAAAAAAATGAATATTTAGTAGGCATTCAAGTATTTGGAATATGTTTATTTGTTGCTCCTTAATAAAATCCAAGACCTTCGGTAAGGCCCAATTATGTCCGTGAGTTTGATTGTGGTACGGTGGCCTAGAGGTAGAGCTCTCACCTCACAATCAGGAGACAGTGAGTTCAATCCTAGGTAGAGGCAGATATTTCATTCTCTGGTCACAATGAGAATATACCCACTGAACAAAGCTCCGCATTGGTGACAGGAAGGGCATCCGGCCAGTAAATATTGAGCTCCATTCAGTTGCTCAGACTCCTCCTCACAAGGGATTATGAGGTCATTAAAAGAAGATAATGATGTCTGTGAGTTTGATTCCTTTTCATATTGTTATACTGATCAAGTTTTCCATGGATTGTAATGGCTCTGGAACTTCTGCCATCTAATTTTGGAGGATTTCCCCTTAATACATTACATCCCATTTTTGGGGGTGCTCTGACACCTAGGAAGCTGCTTCAAAAGATGAGGGAGCGAAAGTGTCTGTTTTGTTAGTTCAAGAAATCTTTCCCTCATAAAATAAATATCTTGGACTAGGATGATAAATAAATTATTGCCCTTTTTATATGCTATTACAGGACTCCCCTATTTTGGTTGGAAAATGTATAGCAAAACAATATCAAAACAATATTTTTTTAAAAAATGAATCTTGTCACGTTAGATTTATTATGGATTCTTATGCTGGAGATAGCATATTTCAGGCATGCGGTACCCGTACAGTATGGTTTTGAGCTAGAAATCTGACCTCTACCAGAAAACTATTAGAATTATCTATGAAAAGCATGCAATTCCAAAACTGAAAAATTCAGAATGTACAAGTTTGTTTGAGTCCTAGAGTGGCCTTGATCTCCAGGTCCTTCCAAATGTTTGTGGTGAAATAACAATGTTGTTCCCATTATTAAGCTACAGATAGTCCTTGATTTATTGATGCAATTGGGACTGTAATTTTGGCTGTTTTGACACTCGTAGGTCAAGAAGACGCACATATGATCAGACCTGATTTTTTAACATTTTTATAGTGGTTACTAAGGAAATAACACATTTATAAGTCCAATTCATGCGGTCGTATGTCAGAACCCATTCTCCTGAATGGGTGTATTTTTCTGGCAAGTGGCAGCTAACTTTCATCTTTTGGAAGGGCATAGAGCTCAAGTCCATTCTGGGATTCGAACAAGCTCTTGTGTTGCAAATTTTTCAATTCTTAAATGCATATTTTTGCCAGATACTGGCAAAAATTTTGCCAGATACTGGCAAAAATATCAGAAATTGTAGTTAGGTGACTGTTGGGTATTGCAATCGTCCCACCTTTGGTTGAAGTGATGTACCTGTTAAACTTGTAGCTATTTTTCATAGTGGTGAAGTGTAGGTAAGCAGAACCACGAGACCAGAATTTTAAGGCAATTTTTTTTTAAAAAGGAAATCTATTACTTTAGGGGCCTCACCATACCCAGGTGTAAAAATTGATGAAGATTTCTGTAGAAGATTGAAAGAAGGAACGAGGATGAGGCCACCAGATTATACAACACCTGAAATGTAAGAACTTTTGCTGTTGCAAGCATGTTTTGTAGCAGAGGTTGATCGTACATTTGTTTTGTTTTCTATGTCATTTGGGAATGCTCCAATGAAAATAAAACACGTTCATTAGTTGGCCAAGGTGGCTTTCATGTTAATGGGATAGAAATCCAAACCAAGCAAAGCAAATCTATTTTTCCCACTCTTCCATTCTTCCTTGTAACAATAACCATCAATAAGTAGCTGAATGGGTTTTATTCTGGGACATATGTATTTATAGTAGGCTTAATTCTCCAGGTATCAGACAATGTTGGACTGCTGGCATGGTGAACCCAAACAAAGACCAACCTTCTCAGATTTGGTGGAGAGCTTGGGGAATTTACTGCAAGCAAATGTCCACAAGGTAACACAATTGTTCTACAGCAGGAATGGGGAACGATGGAGTTTTATGACTTGTGGACTTCAATTCCCAGAATTCCTGCTGGGCTGAGGAATTCTTGGAGTTGAAGTCCACCAGCCATAAGGGGGCCACCGTTCCCCACCTCTGTTCTACAGGCTGCCATCAACTCCCTGAATTTTTTTTTCTCATCCGCTCCTCTCATGAATAATAAAAAGTAAACCAATTTTTGTCTGTCTCTTACACCAGGGTGGTAAAGACTATGTTATCCTCCCCCAAGTTACGTTGCTCCATACCGAAGAAGACTCTGGACTCTCCTTGCCAATGTCACCTGTTTCCTGCAAGGAAGAAGAGGAAGTACGCGATTCTCAGTTCCATTATGACAGCACGTCGCAAACAAGGTTTGTAGCATTCCATTGGGAGCATTCAACAACCCCTTCCCAAGGTTCACACTTGATGTGGTTTGTGATTCTAGCAAAGATGAGAAAGGCTCGTTATTTCAGTGCACTAAATGATAACAGTTTGTATCCTACCCAAGAGACGAGGTGACTAATGAGCGAGTAAACAATAGATGAGTGAATTGTCTACAATCTCATTTAACTTCCCAGAAATGCCTTCATAGTCCATGTAACGAAGGCATTTGTGATAACCCGGGGTGTGGCACAAAGGCAACACAGTCAAATAAGTAAGAAGAATCCCTTTAATACCTCCAACTTTGCCCCCAAGGGCCAGTTACCTTTGGCTGGAGAAAAAACTCTCCCAAGAACAGTCTTTAAGTGGAGGGAATTCAGCCCGAAAACTAAGTACATACAAACTGTAAATAAAAATCCACACAAACCACATTGCAGCAATTAACCAGACAGGGCAGGATAAGCAATTGCAGACTTGAAAGGCCAACAAAACACACACAGTTAGGAAGATGCCAGGAACCCAGATAAGCCTCGACAATAACAAATAACTCACTATTTGCTTCCAACAACTTTGCTGTGCGTAGCTTCCCTTTTTAAACACTGTTTCCAGCTGCAGCTAACGAAGGAAATCAAGGCCCTTTCCTCCCCCATAAGCCACACAACTCACGTTGCTCCCTTCTCCGTTCCTCTCTGGGTGCCCTAGGATGAAGAGGGGGTGGGCATGGTTTTTTCTCTGAATTCCCTCTGCCTTGTTCTACCTCTCCCCTGCTCTGCCCAGCCAGACTTTGCCCTTCCCCAGTTTCTTCCCCAGCCAACAGAGCCACACTCCCACGCCCTGTCAGCTGCTTGGCCTTCCCCTCGGAATCAGATTGCGACAGGGGCATGACAACACTGTTGCTAGAAGAGCCATGTAGTTTCCACACACTGAAGGTATGGGAAGTTCATGAACCTGCAACAAGGGTTACACCATCCTCACATTATCACAAGGATCCACTGCATTTCAGATAGTCCTCGATATACAACCGTTTATTTGGTGACTGTTAAAGTTATACAAAGGCACTGAAAAAAGTGACTTGTGATCGTTTTTCACACTCACGACCATTGCAGCATCCCCCCCCCATGGTCACATGATCAAAATTCAGATGCTTGGCAACAGTGATTGGATTCAGAAAATTTTACTGCCAGTTCTGTGGGCATGGCTTGGTGGGCATGGCATGGCTTAGTGCATGTGGCAGGGGATTCCCTCCTCACTCCTGGGGGAAGGTTATCACCAGTTCTCCAAACTACTCAAAATTTCCGCTACCATTTCTCCAGAACTGGTCAGAACCTACTGGATACCAACCTCTGCTTGCAGTGTCCTGGGGAGGTCATGTGATCACCTTTTGCGACCTTCTGACAAGCAAAATCCATGGGGAATCCAGGTTCATTTAACCACCATGTTACTAACTTAACAAATGCAATGATTCACTTCCCATCTGTGGCAAGAAAAATCATAAAATAGGGTATAACAAAAGTTTCACTTAAGCAACCATAATTTGGGGCTCGGTTGTGGTCCTAACTTAAAGACCACCAGTATTGTCATTACCTAGGCAGAGGTTCAAAACAGTGGTGGGCTTCGACCAGTTTCACAATGGGTTTGCACATTACAAAACCACAATTTTGCAGCTTTACAACTGACTTGCCATATCAACGCCAGTGAGTAAAACAGCTGAGGTACAGTAATCGGCTCAGCTGAGCTTCAAAACTGCAGAAATAAAGGACAGGCTAAAGCAAAGGGAAGGTGGGTGGGACCAATCAATCGCCAGAGCAAAGGGTTCGCCAGAGCAAAGCCACGCCCACCAAACCAGTGGCAACTTTATTTGAATACCACCACTGGTGCAAACCCTGAGTGGCCCACCCCCTGGTTCAAAACCTTTGATACTCTCACAGCCCCTGTTGGATGAATGCAATATTCATTCAATCTACACTCATCCCTAGTGCTCCAAGGTGTGATGATGACTCCCCTGGATGCTTCCTCAGGTACTTCTTTAGATGTTGGCTCTGAGGAGGACGAACCTTTTCCAGGCACGTCTGGAGGGGAGTTGGTCAACAGCTCTGAGCAGCCGTCCGAGAGGAATTTGGCTGAAGCACAGCTGCGACAGGATAACCCTGAGGCTTCAGGTGGGGAAAGCACGCAGCTGCAGCCAGTCAGGGATGAGGAAGAGGAACTGCCTTCTGCAATTGATCCAGGAACACGTAGGGCAGAGAAAAGGCAAGAGCAGAGCAGGTCAGCCAGATTACTCATGTGGAGGCAACCTCGCCCTTCTTGAAGGGCTGCCCCAGAAGCTGGCTATTTAGCACAACAGACAGATGGAAGTGATGCTGGGGACCATGTGTTCATTTCCTAGCGGTCATTTTTCATTTTTCCTGGTCGTTGTGATTCTTGCCTCGCCTTGCATTGACACCCTGCCTCGATTTGGATCGTGCCTTGTGAACTTTGGGCTTTTCTTGCTTCGTGATCCCTCTTACGTTGTGGATTTAATTTTGCCGGGTGGCAAAATTTATTTTGATTGGGAAGCTTTCAAGTGCCTTGTGAACTCCTTGGCTGTGGCTTTGTGGACTAGCCTTGGTCTGCTTGTGGCTGGACTAAATTGGGACAGTTCTGGGGTTTTAGTGAAGAAAGTTGTGGGGAAATATTAATAAACTTGCTAAATTATAGTTACGTACTTACGTGTGTATGTGTGTGTATTTGTGTGTGTGAGAGAGAGAGGGAGAGAGAGAGAGAATATAGGGAGGCTATCTAAAGTAGAGGTCCCAACTCCCGACCTGCAGACCTATACTAGTCCGTGGCCCATTAGGAACCATGGCGCATAAGCAAGCGAAGTTTCATCTGCACATGCATGGGATTTAACGTTGCACATGAAACCACACTCTTCTCCCGTCCATGGAAAAACTTTTTTGCACAGACCTGATCCCTGGTGCCCAAAAGATTGAGGGCTGCTGATCTAAAGGAACCATGCATTTGACCTCTTTCCAGGAAATGAGTTTAGGATGGTCCCCGTGAGAAAGAAACTGTTTGGCCAAACAGCTGGAAGGGTGGATTACAGGGGTGGGATTCAAATTTTTTAACAACCAGTTCTGTGGGCGGGGCTTAGGTGATGAGCGTGGCTTGGTGGCCATGTGACTGGGTGGACGTGGCTTGGTGGTCAGGTTATTGGCTGGGTGTGGCCAACTCAATATCACTCACATCGAGGCACGCATCTCCTCGCCTGGCCTCTCATGACTGTGAGGATGCTGCAACAGTCGTAAGTGTGAAAAAGGGTCATGAGTCACTTTTTTCAGTGCCATTATAACTTTGAATGGTCACTCACTCCACACAAGCAAAGTACCAGCAAAGGAGGGGAAAATAACTCCATAGAAGTTCCTGAGACAGGAAGTCTAGTCCTGCCAAGAATGTAATAAGGGTTAACAGGGTGGCAGTATCTGTAAGCAACACCAGAATGTTTCCTTCCTGCCTTCCTTACAGGATTAGACCAGTAATTTCTTCTAACAACCGGTTCTCCGAACTGCTTAGAATGTTAACAACCAGTTCTAGCGAATAGGTGCGAACTGGTAGAATCCCACCCCTGGTGGATTACCTAGGAAGTGTAGAAGCAGCCTTCAGGGACAGAATAGGGTGACATTAAATATGCACATATCCACACATGCACATTAACATACACCCCGTACAAAACATTCATGTAATCTAATATAAGTTGCAGAATTTGTATAGCACTTAGATGCATCAAGGCAGGGGTATCAAACCCACGGCATCATGTTGTCATTACATGACATATTGGGACTTCCCCCTCCTTCGCTAAACCAGGGGTGGGCATGGGCTGCGCATGATGCATCCGCGGACCCACAGGCTGCAAGTTTGACACCCTTGCATCAAGGGGTTGAACCCATAGGAAGTACCTCTTTATATTGGATACCATTGTAATCATTTAAATCATATGAGAGTCTGACAATTTTTGAGAGAGGCCTGGCATCAAAATTGCTGACGATCACAGCTTGGTGGGATGTTATTTTAGGGGTTGTATTCAATTTTTTTATTACTAGTTCTGTGGGCATGGCTTGGTGGGTGCTGCGTGGCTTGGTGGGCATGGCAAGGAAAGGATACTTTAAAATCTCCATTTCACCCCACTCCAGGAGAAGAATATGCTGCAAAATCCCCATTCCCTCTCCACCCCACTAACCTGCTTTCCAGCTCCATTTTCCTGTGCAGGGCAACCAAAGAAGACCCAGCCAATCAGCTGGGACTCGGGAGGCAGAGAATAGATGGGGGCGGGGCCAGTCAGAGGTGGTACTTGCCAGTTCTCCAGACTACTCAAAATTTCCACTACCGATTCTCCAGAACTGGTCAGAACCTGCTGAATATCCACCTCTGTGTTAGTTGCACAAGCTTGCTTTTGGATAATAATTGCAGAAGGCAACCTGAAACTTCAACCGTCCAATTTTTACTAAGCTTCGACACCCTAACAAGACATGTATTTCTTTTTCTTTTTAGTCAGCGTCGCACAGGAAGTAAAAGAAATAGCCGTCCTGTGAGTGTCAAGACTTTTGAATCTGTGCCCGTAGAACCAACCATAAAAGTAGTTCAAGATGTAAGTCCATTTTATAGTGCCTTTCTTTTGTGGGGGGGCAGCTTTTGGTCTGTCTATCTATCGGTCTGTGTTTCCATTGATCGTCCAAACAGCCTTTTTGTTTTGTTTCCCCTGGGTTCTTTCAGGAAAATCAGACAGATAGTGGGATGATTCTTGCGTCCGAAGAACTAAAGGCATTAGAAGAGAAAGCTAAAGAAGCGGTGTTGCCCTTCAGGTAAATCTGGAGAAACAATCATTATGCTCATTTTATTAAAAAATCAATCAATCAATCAAGGTGATTCCCAATAAAAAAAAAACAAATCAAAGAGGCCCCAGTGGAGGAGCAGCACAGTAGGGGTACGTTGTGGTTCACCGGGAGCAGGTGCAGATGGCTGAGGTCTCTGAAAGTGAGGACTTGGATGAGGGGCCTGTATGCGATGCAGGGATGGGCCCAGGACTATCGGAGAGTGGGATGGTTCCTTTGGAGGTCATGGAGTCTGTCAGCAGTGACAAAGAGGGACCCGGGGAGCCTGCTTGAAGGAAAGAGCAGCTGAAGCAGCACAAGCAACTCGGGAGTAAGGCTGGAAGGTGATGGCCCTTCCCATAAGGGATAAAAGCCACCCTTCGGGGTTGGCTTCTTTGCAGGAAGCAAAGAAGTTCTTTATGCTCAGAGTTCCCATCCTCTGGTTTGTTTGTTTTTCTGGCTTTGGATATTTATCTGCAATTAGTCTTTTGTTCTTGGCAGCCTTTTGCAACCTTGAAAGGACTGGCTCTTACCTGGGACAATTAGCTTTAAATGACTCTTGGCTGTGAATGCACAGAATTCACAGCGCTGCATTAAAAAGGGTTGTTTTTATATATATACTTTGTGTTTGTTTGATCTGAACAAGGCTGGGGTCAGAACAGGGTGGTTGATCGAGAAACAATGAAGCCCACCTCCCCCCACCTCTGCCCCCATCCTCCCCATGTGTCCTTCGGGTTTGATGTTTGGTTTTAATTATTTATGTTTTAATTGTGTATGTATAGACATATTTTTTTTGCCTGTAAGCCACCCACAATTACCCTATGGTAAAATGGGAGGAAAATAAATTTAATAAATAAATAAATAAATAAATAAATAAATACATACATACATACATACATACATACATACGTGCCATGATTCCCCTGAAAATAAGACTGGGTCTTACATTAACTTTTGCTCCAAAAGATGCATTAGGGCTTATTTTCTGGTTAGGTCTTATTTTCAGGGAAATATGATTATTAAATACATCCATCTGGCTGACGATCTTAACTGGGGCTTATTTTGTGGGTAGGGCTTACATTATGAGCATGCTGGAAAAAATCGTGCTAGGGTTTATTTTCCAGTTAGGTCTTATTTTCAGGGAAATATGGTACATACATGCATACATAGATACATACATACATACATAAATGTACAAATGAATACATACAGAAATAAAATTCTCTACTTGAGAGGAAATATCTAGAATTATCCACCTCTGTTTTGGACAGATTTATTCCTCTTACCTGGCAATGTTACATCAATGATGCCACACTCTAGGGATTTGCTGTGAGATGGTGGAAGGTGAAACAAAAGAGCATGTCAGTGCACAGTACCAGAAGCTAAGGCTTATATTGTCCGCCTGCATTTTGACTTCCTGGGGTTCCAATGTCACTTTGGGAATCACAGATCCGATGGTATCCTGTGCTTATTTATTCCAGCATCCCTGCCCTCCATAGCAGCTTGTTATGGAGAGACGTCACTGATAGATGAAAATGCTTCTCCATCTGTCCCTGTGTTTCATCCACACGGAACAGGGTAGAATATAGAATAGAATACTTTGTTGGCCAAGTTTGTCTCCGGTGCAGAAGCTCTCAGTGTACATGCAAAGCAACAGAGTAATAATAATCATAATAATACCAGTAAGAAGATGTCGTAAAGAAGGTGGGAATGATAATAATAATAATAATACTACAGCCATACAATGTGGGTAAATATACTAAGACACAAGACAGTGCTGTGAGAATTAGGTGTTCAGCGGAGTGATGGCTCGAGAGATAAAACTGTGAGTGTTTAGTTGTTTTCACATGCAATGCCCTATAGTGCCATCCTAGGGGAGGAATTGAAACAGTTTACATCCAGGAGGTGAGGGGTCTGTAGATATTTCCTCAGCCTTCTTTCTGACCTTGTAGCATACAAGTCCTCAATGGAAGGCTGGCTGAGGTTGTTTATTTCTACCGTCCTGACTAGCCATTGAAGTCTGTACCTGTCCCATTTGTTTGGTGTACCAAACCAGACAAGAGTATCCTCTATATTGACCGGCAAAGGCAAAAATCCCATATTGATATTCCAGAAAAGCAACATAGTTTTTTGCACGAATTCCTCCCCTTTTGTGGGCTGGAACATCTTTTACATGCTGGTTATCCATTCTGGGTGTCTTCCTCCTATCTCCCCAGGTCATTCTCACACACCATTACACATATTCTGAATCCTGGTGCCCAATTAGCCATTTTTTCATTTTATTTTGTTTATTTTTTTCAGTGGGCTGATTCCCAGTAAAAGCAACGAATCTGTGGTGTCTGAAGCTTCCAATCCCACCAGCGGCTATCAATCAGGCTATCATTCAGATGACATGGACATGACCATGTATCCCAGTGAAGAGACGGAACTCTTAATGCTCAGGGACGATACTTCTCAGTCTTGCTACGTTGCCTACGGCCCGGCTCTCTCTCTGAGTTCACAATCTGTATAAGGACTTCTCGAAAAATGACAACCACTGGAACTTGCACCGAACATTGCCTTGTCCTGAAACCCACTGTATTCATACCCAGAATACAGGAGGGGAGAAAAATATGAATCCCACCCCCCTTTTTTTTCTTTTTAATGATAAAAAGAAGAAGAAATTGCAAGAAAGAATCCTGGTGAGGCCATGCAAGGCCTTGAGAGAGCTTGAAGTTATATCAGGCATTGCTGAAAGTCATAGACAATCGTTTCATCCTCATTTTGAACCACATGGACATTGTGAAATCTGATAAGGAGGCCATCTTCCTGTGCAGTTACATGAAGATGGAAATAGGCTCAGTCAAAACCCTTTGAATTTGGGGTTGGTCAGCAAAGAAAAGGTTTCAGAAATGTGGTTGGTGGAGCCTAAGAAAAGGGCCTGACAATACAGCCCCTGCTTTTACTAAATCCTCTTTCATGTTTATCTCTTCCATCGAAGGGCCCTTTCTTTCTAAATCTAATTCTTGTAGTTAAAAATAAGCCACTAAAAGCTACTGAAGAGCAGGGCACCTATTTTCATGAAAAGCTCTGTTTTTAGTACCCAGGCCTTGATGCATTTTTGATCCTTTCAAAGAAGGCTTCCTACTGAAATGAACCTCTTGAGAGGTTTGAGAAATGCTTAAAAATTAGCAAATAATGGCAGAGTTTAGCAAATTTTCCACCAAGGTCACCTAGAGCTCTAGCAAGATGTGATATACACTGAAGGACTTTTCTTTACAGAAAGTACCATGAAGCTATTTTGACTAGTGTTGTTTTCGGTTACTTTTATATTTTTATATTCGTGGGTTTTGTACTTTGTTTAATATTTCAAGCATAACAAATCCATGGATTAACAAACAAACAAACAAAAATCTAAAAGGCACAATGCAGTATTTATAATCTGGATATGTAGAAAGAATTGTAATATATTATGAAAATAAATAAATAAATAAATCTATTGTGTAATGAAAGCCGAGTGGAACTTATTCTTGAGTTTGCAGGATATTCGGCTCCTAATTTTTTAAAAAATTAGGGGGCTGGTTCAAATGTTCAGCTCTCAGCTGAACATTTCTGAGTATGTGGATGATTTTATATGGTAAATTTCTTAGTCAACTGGACTTTCTGGTTTATTCATTCTTTTCTGAGGACCTGAACTGGGGTGCTCACCTTGTAGCCCTGGTCAAAAGGGCCCAGCAGAGATTATACTACCTGAGGCTTCTCAGAAAACAATAGGTGGATGGAAAACTGCTGGTGACCTTCTACCGCTGCACCATAGAGAATATCTTAACTTACTGCACCTCTGTATGGTTTGCCAATTGCACAGAGGCAGAAAGGAAAGTACTCCAGAGGCTTAATGTCATTGCCCAAAAGATCATGGGTTGCCCTCTCCCCTCTTTGGAAGAGTTTTATAGCTCCCGCTGCCTTAAGAAAGTTCAAAACGTTCTCAAAGATCCATCTCATCCTGGGCACCCTTTTTTTGAACTATTACCATCTGGCAGACGGTACAGGAGAATAAAAACAAGGACAAAGAGGCTGAAAAACAGCTTCTATCCCAGGGCAGTAACTCTATTGAATTCTGCTGTATAGTGCAGTGTTGGTGTGGTGTTGGGGGTTTTCAGTTCAATGTGTGGAGGGTGAAGGATGTGTGTTTGTGTTTATTTTTATGGTCATGATGTGCACTGAAGATGGTGTTTGATTTCGTTGTACGAGGTGCAATGACAACAAAGTAAACTAAGCTAAATCTGAGAAGTGAAATGTCTACAAAGAAAATCCAGAAAGTCCAGTTGCCCCTTGAAAAAGCACCTCTGGGAAATTTTATGCCATAGTTGATGTGTAAGTTCATCACTGCACAACAATTTTAAAGCAATTTCTTTTCGTCTTTCATATATCTTACCTTCCCGCTCTCCAGCATCTATAATTTGTTCTAGATATCTTCCCCTGCCAGGTAAGAATTCCAACATTTATATCCGATGGGCCAAGTAAATCAATTCTGTGTCATTTCAAATGGTCGATAGGATTACATTTTTTAATAGTGCACTTTTTTTCTCCTTGCAAAAAATTTCAGACCAGCATAAGAGCAATCCCACACCTGTTTTTGGAGGGGAAAAAAAAATATCCCTTGACCTTCTTTGTTTCTAGTTTGTTTTATTTTTATTTTTAACATCCGGGAACATCTCAGGAATCTGTTGCTCTATTAGTCCTTTTTTTTTTTTTTAAAGAAGAAAAAAAACATCTGGTGTTTCAAAATATCTGCCTTTCAAAATATAATCTATATTTAGTCTCAGTGTTCTTGGCAAAATGCCTGCGAGGGTCACATCTGTTTAAGCAGATGTCAAGAAACTACACAGTGTTTTAAATGGTGACCCTGTAAATGAAGATTATTATATTTTTGCACCTGCACGCATGTACACTCAGTGCTTAATGTATATGTTCAGCTTTGGGGCAGTTGCATGTCAAGTTTCTTCCAGGAACTGTGTGTTGTCGTTCACAGCCCTAATAAACTCTGCTTGGAAACAAGGTCTATTAAGTGGGTTTGTAACATAACTCCTTGACTTACAACAGTTCACTCAGTGAGCGTTCGAAGTTACAAAGGCACTGGAAAAAGTGACTTATGCCCATTTTTCACACTTATGACCAGTGCAAGCATCCTCATGGTCAAGAGGTGGATATTCAGCAGGTTCTGACCGGTTCTGGAGAACCAGTAAGTGGAAATTTTGAATAGTTCAGAATACTGTCAAATATCACCTCTGACTGGCACCGCCCGCCATCTATTCTCCGCCTCCCGAGTCCCAGCTCATTGGCTGGGTCTTCTTTGGTTGCCCTGCACAGGAGAACGGAGCTGGAAAGCAGGTTAGTGGGGTGGAGAGGGAATGGGGATTTTACACTATCCTTTCCCTGCCACACCCACCAAGCTACGCCCACCAAGCCACGTGCACAGAACTGGTAGTAAAAAAAAAATTGCATCCCACCACTGCCAGGGTCACATGATTTACATTCAGATGCTTGACCACTGACTCACATTGATGATGGTGGCAGGGTTCCTGAGTCACGTGGTTCCCTTTTGTGACCTTCAGACAAGCCAAATCAATGAGGAAACTAGATTCCCTTCACAACCAGATTACCAATTTAACAACCGCAGTGGTTTGCTTGACGAACATGGCAAGAAAATGGGGCAAAACTCACTTGTATCGCAGAATTACGTTGCTGAGTGACACCAAATTTCTCACTCAGCAACAGAGGTGGGTATTCAGCGGGTTGTGACCAGTTCTGGAGAACCGGAAGTAGAAAGTTTGAGTAGTTCGGAGAACCGGCCAATCCCACCCCTGACTGGGCCCGTCCCCGTCTATTCTCTGCCTCCCATTGAGTCCCAGCTGATCGGCTGGGTCTTCTTTCGTTGCCCTGCACAGAAGAATGGAGCTGGAAAGTAGGTTAGTGGGGTGGGGAGGGAATGGGGATTTTGCAGTATATCCTTCTCCTGCCCACCAAGCCATGCCCACCAAGCCACAACACACCTACCAAGCCAAGCCACGCCCAGAAATGTTCAACTTCGGAGTCAATGAAGGAGAAGTGTAGAAATTCTGGATTGCAGTCTCTTGGGAAAAATGTTTAACCTCCCCTTTGGACGGAGACCGGAGGCGCTTTTGAAGCAGTAAAAGATAAAGGAAATAATTAAAAGGGTGACAAGGCTCATTTGCAGATTATACAAGGGTCTCTGCAGCAACGGAAGTGAGGTTGCACGAAATACCTTGTGAACCCCACCGCTGGTTATTTTGGAGACAAGTGGAAACACAACTCACATTCGTTTAGGCCAGAGGTGGGTATTCAGCAGGTTCTGATCAGTTCTGGAGAACCGGTAGCAGAAATTTTGAGTAGTTCAGGGAACCAGCAAAAAACACCTCTGACTGGCCCCGCCCCCATCTATTATCTACCTCCCATTGAGCCCCAGCTGATCGGTTGGATTTTCTTTGGTTGCCCTGCACAGGAGAACAGAGCTGGAAAGCAGGTTAGTGGGGTGGGGAGGGAATGGAGATTTTGCAGTAACCTTCCCCTGCCACGTCCACCAAGCCACGCCCACAGGACCAGTGGGACCGGAGGTGGTATTCAGTTGGTTTTGACCAGTTCTGGAGAACCGGTAGCAGAAATGTTGAGTAGTTCAGAGAATTGGCAAATCCGGCCTCTGACTGGCCCCACCGCCATCTCTTCTCTGCTTCCTGAGTACCAGCTGATTGGCTGGGTCTTCTTTTGTTGCCCTGCACAGGAGAATGGAGCTGATAAGCAGGTTAGTGGGATGGGGAGGGAATGGGGATTTTGCAGTAGCCTTCCCCTGCCACACCCACCAAGCTACAGACCAGTGGTGAGATTCAATTTTTTTTACTATTGGTTCTATGGGCTTGGCTTGGTGGGTATGGCAAGGGAAGGATACTGCAAAATCCCCATTCCGTCCCCACCCCACTAACCTGCTTTCCAGCTCCGTTCTCCTGTGCAGGGCAACAAAAGAAGACCCAGCCGATCAGCTGGGATTCAATGGGAGGCAGAGAATAGATGGGGACGGGCCCAGTCAGGGGTGAGATTGGCCGGTTCTTCGAACTACTCAAAATTTCCGCTACCGGTTCTCCAGAACTGGTCAGAACCTGCTGAATACCACCTTTGATGCAGACAATGGCAATTTTAGTCATTAGGAGACTGCTTACTGAACATGGGGTCAGTACAGCACATACGTTGTTTGCAAAAGAATAAAGCAGCAAAAAGAAACTTTCCACTAGATCATTGAATCAGCAAGGGAAAAAAAATGTGATGGATTCTGGGCCCAATTCAGAATTTTGCTGATTTTTTTTCTCCTTGATAGCACTAAAAATAGCACTTAGACATATATACCGCTTGTTATGACTCCCCTTTGAAATTCAAACGGACAAAACAGAAAGCAGCCGTTTCACAATTAAATCAAACGGAAAGAAGTCTTATTAGATAACAGCTGGCAGAAACCACAGCATAAATCTTACTCTGTCCGGCAAACCAGTCCTGGCAATAAATCCTCAGCCTCAGAGCTCTTTGCTGTAACGTCCTCACTCAAATAGTCATTTTGTTCCTGGCGAAATGCACCAGCCCAGCTGGGTCCTTTTATACTCATTAAGGCAACGTGCTAATTTACTGACTTGCTCTTCTCATTCGCTCCAGCTGATTTTGCCTTTTCAACCGTCTTCTATTTTTTACATTTAACCACAAATTTTCCAAGTTCTCATCTCCACTAGAAGACTCTCTCAAAACTTCCCTGTCAGCCATTCCCGGCTGTTCATCAGATAAAGAACCAGAGGAGATCAAAGGTCCTGACAATTCTAATACATCAGGTCTGTCGTCCTTTGTCACGTCCACCTCCTCATCCTGGTTATCAGTCCAATCAGAAAGCCAGGCTGGTTCAAATTGTTCTGACGTAACCTCTTCACTTGAACTCATATCAATCACAGGAGCTGAATCCAAGCCCGGAGCCACAACACCGCTTCACGGTGTTTTTTTTTTGTTGCCCTCTCCAAGAGGTTTTACAGAGTCAGCCTCTTTCCCCCAACAATCTGGGTCCTCGTTTTACTGACCTCGGAAGGATGGAAGGCTGAGTCAACCTTGAGCCGGTGGGACTTGACCTGCCAAACTTCTGGCAATCAGCAGTCAGCAGGAATAGCCTGCAGTACTGCACTCTAACCAGTGCGCCACCACAGCTCTTGATCCTACTTGATCGTCCAAAACTCACTACTTTGAATATTAGGGAGCGTCGAAGATTCTCTATCAGATTCATACTTTAGATTCCAACTCCCCAACATTTCACAATTGAACAAATAAGGGAATGCACTGTACCTGGCCAAGAAAATGAGTGAAAAATGGCTACATTCATATCAGGGGTATATATTATGGCTCTTGGACACCAAGCAGAATCCTCTCCAAAGCCACCAAAATAATATCTGGAGTTTT